TTGGAAAAGCGCTGACGCAATACTTTGTACTCTTTCGCGTCGAGCTCCTGAGCGAATTTTCCTCTGACGTTCGAGTGCTACAACCATTTCTAATGGGTCCCCAATAGCAGCCAGCATTCCCGGTGATAAATCGAAGGCAGCTCGTTTCAACCATAGGGCATCGGACTGCGCAACGGCGGCGATTTTGAAGGGATCGGCCGGCTTCTTTATGTGAGTTGTTGATTTTGTTGATTTATTGGGTGCTTGACGGCTCGCCTCCCGAAGCGCCATTTTCTCTTGAATCATCCAAAATCGGTCGTAGTTCTCAGGAACAGGATGAGCCGCGCCATCGCCGTTGATGATTGCCTGAATTTGGGGAATTGCTAGCTCACATATCTGGGTGAGTTCCGGTTTCATGCTCTCCATGTTTTCCTGCTTGCCGTCGTCAAACTGAGGCAATCGTACCTGTCCTAACTGCACGGTGTCACCACTTATGTGTCTAATTGTAGCACGACACAAACCTGGTGGGGTTCAAGGTACTCGGGAAACTTCGCAATCTCGGCGCTTGAACGGTAGAACATGGACACGGGAGGGGCAGACGAGCTGCGACTAGACCAAACAACGAAGGAAGGCCATTTGAAGCGATACTCACCGCCAACGCGCGATGGATTGAAGTCATCGAGGATGGCTGGTAGCCATTTCGTATCGCCGTTCCACGGCGATAGCTGAGGTATGATGAAAATACTCCCTTGTTCTCGCCTTCAACATTTGTCAGCTAGCCGTCTCCGCAATGCTCAACAGACTTACGCAATCCGCGCAAACGAAGGTATCACTCTCCGCAGGCGCAGGAAGTGCCTGGAGACATTTGGAGCAAATGAAAGTAAAGTCGGGGTTGTTCCAGTTTGTGTCGGGTCCTATGCACTTTATATGTGACCAGGTTTTGCAGCCCTCACATTGGACCTCATCGTAGACTCCGTCGCCCTCACTATTCTGTGTCTTGCACGGGATACAGTCAACTGGGCTCGGTGATGATGCGTGTTGCAACTCAGAACTTGATGGCATAGTGGGCCGATCAGCTTGGATATCTGTATCGGTAGCGTCTTCTCCTTCGGACCCGTCGAACGCTCATCCTCCTCAGCATCGTCTGAATCTGATTCATCGCTGACCATTTCCCGAGGCTGTATCGCTCCCCGTGGCCCAAGAACACGATATTCTTTGGCGCCGCTCAATGGCTCATTTTGACGCAGCCAAAGGCGCTCCACATGCGGAATAAGCTCGATGTTCTGTCGCAGTAATTTTCCGTCCGCCGAAAACCCCCCACGCGCATGTCTTGAGACGGTGAGCATGAAATATCTCCTGGGCATCTTTTCCACCGTCCAAGTGATAAACAAGTCCCCATAGACGATATCCAGATGGGACGTCAACGATATCTTGCGATAGGCCATACATGACGCCGTTTCCGTAGTTCCCATTTCGACGAGTTGAGTGGCCATTTTCTTCAAGACCGTCGTAACTATAGACCTTCTTACCGTCATTAGACTTGTATCGTGCCACGAAATGTCGGATTTTTGGGTGTAGGTAGATGTGTGCGACAAGGCTATAGCGCACCTTCTCCCCAATCTTGCCCGGTAGCACCCTCATCGTGTTTGGTATGTCCCAGTTCAATGTCGCGAGACAGTCGAACTCAAAAACTAGCACGACAGGGATGTTGTCAACAAGGCTGTATGCTTTGCTCGTTCCCGAGCAGAGCTTTTTGCCATCATTTTTGACGCGCCAGCATCCACCCGGCGTTGCGTGCTTGGGGTTCAGCCAGTTTTGAAAGTATTGACGAATACTGCCTTGGCATTTCTTGTGTGTAGTCGGGGTAAGTGACAGTTGAATGTCCTGGTGCCAGCGACTATCTGACAGTAGCCAGTGGGGTTGTGCGTGTAATGGATCAGACTGATCTCCGCTGCAGAACTTCAGCTTCGTTGTGCGAAATTTGAAGAAGGATGCCGCTCCATCAAGTGGTTCGGCATTAATAGGTGCGCTACCTCTTGGCAGTGCATCGTTCAACCAACCCTAGCTCAATGGTCAGTTCTCGTGGGGTTAAAGTCATCAAGCTGACGCACAAGTAGGGTGCCTCTATCGCCAATTGCCTTCACGCTATTCCCCGGGCTTTCCACTAGCAGTTCACGGAACTCGTTACGCTTCAGTCGAAGTCCTTGACACCCACCGTCTTCGTATGCTGGCTGACTCGAACGTGAGATATAGAACTGCAAGATCTCGTTTAGCGCCATCAGCACATGGTTTGCCGGTAATCCTTCCAATGTGGCCGCAAATTCGTCTGCGTTGCGCGAGACTGCAGCCCCCAGTACAGTGAGAGATGTGTCAAGCCAACACGAATTGCGCTCCCACGGAAAGCCCAATCGAAATTTGGAGTTAACTGGAGGCTTGGTCGTGAGGAGCCGCTTTTTGGTATCAGGTGGGCGTGTTTCTCCCTTGGCAGTGGCAATGGGTTGATGACGACTGTGTTTTGTATAGCCATACGTGTTTGCACGTACTTTGTGGCGTTCCCCTCGCCCATATCGGATATCTCCACCATCTAGAAGCAAAATTAGTATTGAAGCCAAACGAAGGAGGTGGAGCTCAAACGGCGGGCTGCAGTGTGCAAGGTCTCAAAGTATACCGCAAACCTCATCATTGCCTCCAATCCGTCAAATAGAGCAAGCTTTGTGCCATACATAGTATTGATTTTGTTGTGCATCGATTCTTGAGCATTAGTGGTCGATGCAAGCGACTCCCACTCATCTTGTGGCATCAGGCGAGCACTGGGGAAGAGCATTGCTGCGTGATTAGGACGCATCCACCATTCTATCCACGACTTGGCCCGCGGAAAAGTTCGCATGAATTCGTTTCCATGACGGAGAAAATCAGCTGGATCAGTGATTTGAAGAAATTGAAGAGCGTAGTTGTCAAAGAGATAGGCATGCGCAGGGTCAACAACACCGTGTATTTTCTTGACGCGTGTTATCTGGGCTCGAAAGTGCTGTTCACATCCCCGTAACAAAGCGCGTGCAGCGTTATGAAGCTCCATTTCAGTTCGCACTTCCGGTTCACGTTGGAGGAAAAAGGCAGTGTAAGCTTTATCGAAGCCAGACTGTTGCGCCTCACTAAAATCCATGATCTGACACCATGATTAGATCTCAGCAGATAAGACAAGAAAAAGATCAGCCACCGTACATTCGCCAAAAAATGATCAACAAACTGACGTGCGGTAGCGTCACATTCTTGGGCAATGCTCTCGATCAAGTCATAGAAGAAATGTGCGTAGTGGTCGCTTGTTTGACCATTGATATACGCAATGAGCCCGGGAGCCCAGCTCTTCAAGACCAGATCGTAAACGGAGCTTGTGAGCAAATAATCGTGTGCATCTCTGAAAAAGCCATGGGATGCATCGGTCACGATTCCATTCACGGCTTCGGTTTCGACACGGTCCTTGAGTAGCATTTCCTGCATCAAGGGTGTTTGGACGGTGATGACAGTTATCCCGCCTTCAATGTGGATCTTCATTCGAATGTCGGGATATTTTTGTTGAAGTTCGGCGATCTTATTTTGAAAATGATGATCGTTGTGGATACGAGAGCCGTGTGTTAGCTTTCGCCTCTGATATTCGATCTTATCGCGGTTGACCAATGCAGGGGTGATATCGGCGGCTGAACGATGTGAACCATCTAAACTGGGGAGCCCAGCAAGAAGTTTTGCCGGGCCAGCGCTTGGGTTTTCGATCACCATTTTTCGGAGTTCGTCCTCTTCGGGTTGAGTGAGGAAATGCAGTACTGTTGGAATTTCGTGCTTGTGTGTCCCGCAATTTTCGAAATAGACCCCATCTCGAAATACGTAGACCTTGGCTACTACGCCGCATTTAACCAGGATAAGCTTCCCTTTCCCGCACTTGCAGCCCTCCGCTTTTTGTCTTTCTCTCCCTTCCTTTGTGGTGAGGGGACGCGTGAGCATGATACATTGGTCGCATTTGAAAATTCCGAGACATTTACGACGTGCACATTTCCCGTCCTTCGGTTCCGCAGCATTTTGGCTTCCAGGTTTTCGGGACGATCCCAGACTTTCGCAGGGCCAATGAATGCGGAGGCTAACATTGTCGCGATAGTACTTATGTGTGTGAAGTCGACTGAACACACCGTTGGGCAACGGATTCCATGGTTCATTGTCATCGTACTTCCACTTTGAAGGCATTGTCGCCGACAAGCGTTCCGGTTGCTGGGTTCTGCCAGTGTGGGGTTGATTTTGACTGGAGTGAGTGGCGTCTACAGCAAAGTGAACCGTGGAGAAGTCGCCGGGTAGGTTTTGCCGACTCAGATGAGGCGACTCTGACATAGAGGCAGCTGCCGGCAACTTTGTGTGAGCACGGCCTCCAGACTCAGACTCGGAGTGAGCACCAGAGTGTTGAATAGCGACATGATAATGAGGTTCCTCTGCTGCTGGTATACCAAATCAGTCGCGGAAGTATATAGGCACGCGGGAGAGCGCACCGGGCTGTCCTCGCACGCCAATGACCCTTCCGCTCTCGTCGCGCAGCACCGTAAAGTTTTGGCGGATATCTTGTATACTGTCTGTGGAAAGATTGGATTGCGTTCGCAAGGAGAAACCAGGCATGCGTACACACTGGCACTGGGTCGCTGGCTCTGTCCTGCTGGTGGAACCCATTGGAGCTGGAGTCACTTGCATCGTCTTCGCTGTCGTCCTGCTCTATACCTCCACGAACTAGATGATACCATGCTCGTAGAGCAGTTCTCTGTGCATTGTCAGCAGTGGTGTTGCTGCTCGTGCATTAACAACAAACCAGCATCGTGCTTTGGGGGTGCTTTGGGGCGTTGCTAAGTCAATATGGTGTGGAATAAAGAGGCAGCGACGCCTCGCCAATCATTATGGAGCACGCATCATGGTTCGGTATTATCCGGTCAAAAGTTAAAAATACCCAGTTTACACTGGCATTGCATTTGAAAGAAGGACAATTGGAAACATCACACCGAATCATTGGCTGTTGGATCCTCCTCCAGCTCGGCTAGCTCCTCGGGGCTTAAGTTGTGCTCTTCTTCAAGATTGCCAGCTATGTTTTGGGCAACAGTCACGATAATCAGCAATCTGGCCAACTTCCGCTGAAGAGGTAACTCACCAATTTCCTTGACAAGAACAGGCTCTGCGGCTGGAGCAAGCTCGTTTGAGTCGGCGCGGTGGGGACTGTCCCGCTTAGCCACTGGTGCTGGAGAACGAAGGTCACGGAGTGGCGGGGAGATGAACTCAAACCATTGGTTGCCTGTCGTGGAATGAGTGTATTGGACATGTGTATGTGCCCCGCTATTTGATATGAGTGCGCCATTTCGATAGGTATAGACCATGAAGTCAACATCGCATGGGCGATAGATGAGTGCATGCCCTCGTGGGCATTTCATCGTCAGTTGTCGCATGCGCTGGCGCAGCGTCTTCTCGGGTGCAACACACATGCGCTCTGGACACGCCGCAGCATCACAAAGAAGAGACCCGAGGCACCGCCGGATAGTTTGCTTGCCACGCTCGGGGGTTTGCGCTCGTGGAGAACCGGCAAAGCCAGGAATTACTTCGTGGACCCAATGAATAGCAAGGTTCGACGTTTCCCGGAGATCTTGCGGAGTGAACCACGCGTGGAATACTTCATTTGGCCAGCCATCCCACTGGAGAAACGTCCGCCGCTCGCCTCTTATTGCCGATCGGACAGCAGCGTTATCTGGCCGGATTTTTGGCGCTGAAGACATTGGTAGGGTTGACACGAACAACATTTGCGTACCTGAAGCCTGTACACTGTCAATTTGGATGCCGTCCTTCGGAATCATGCCAATAACATTGTCTAACTCAATTCAGCAGGTCGGATAGAAGGAGAGTCAGCAATATACCATGGGCATCGAGAAGAGGGACAAGCATTCGTTCGTCGCGTTTAATCCTCGATCTAGACCGAGTTTTCGGCCTTCTGCGTCGCTCTCGAGGCTCCAATACAAGCCCTGCCAGGACGAATCCATAGAAGACAAGCACAAGACAGTTTATTGTGAGTAGGACTTTCGTATTCAAATAGCCGTAGAGGTGCTGGAGTGTGTCGTAGATAGTGCCCCAGTGTGAGATAATCAAGGCAATAACGAGCACTGGAACGACCGCCGCGGACAGTGTGTCCTTCATGGCCGAAGGAAGCAAAGAGTCATTGACGTGGCATGTGGCAGTGCTTTCCGGAAGCGATCGCCGCCATCAAATCGATTGCGACTGACCACCACCATGCCCTCCACCCCCTTGACCGTGGACATCGTCCGTGAGACACGACATCTACACTGTGGTGCGCCGGCTTCAAGTCATGCTGGTACAAAATCATCCAGGCATCAACCCGAAGACCCGGCCCGGCCGCCCGGGGCTGACGGGGCCGGGACGTCCAGCAGCTGGCGAGCGACCGGAACGGCCTGCATCGGGGGCCACGTCAAGTGCAACGCGTTCTGTGACGCTGCCCGTGCCTGCGATTAATATTGTGCCCACTGGGCACCCGAAATGGTGGTACACGCAGGTCGAGCTCGTCCGGGCGGGCGCTTCAAGTTCCTCCGACCTCGTGTTCCACACGCAGATACTCGAGTAACTCGTCATGATGCACCTCGTCGACCTTGCGTCTGGCAAGTGTGCGACTGTGTGCACGTGTGTGTCTGGCCGTCGGCGCCGGTGGCCTGCCATTCTCGGTGGACGTCGGAGGGCAGCCTGAGGCCGCTGAGGCTGGGCGGCAGCGTGGCACTTGTTAGCATTTGGAATGGTTGTATCAGTGCAGCACAATGCCTGTTGATAAACTTGGTGCTTCCCCTGGCTAAGTATTGGCGCTGCACCAACGTGATGTTGGCGCCGCATGTAAGACAGTGGTGCAGCACTGGCGCCTCGAAGATTTCCATTGGCGCTGCAGTGGCGCTATGCTGGCGCTGCAGTGGTGCTGCGCTGGCGCTACATATACGCTGCATTGGCGCATCATGCTATGTGATAGGCGCTGCATGTCACGGAGTCTGGCGCTGCAGGTCACAGACTCTGGCGCTGCATGTCACATGTTGGCGCTGCAGCGTGACAATTCATGAAGTCAAAAAAATTGGGGTTGGACTAGATAAGCTGCCAAGATCCCTACTTCACCAATACATATAGCCTATATGAAATTCCACCCAAATTTCTAGCCCTTCGCATGCAAAGTAAAATCTAAGTCAACTTCAAATACCAGGTATTGGATGATTATGAAGAAAATTTGGACCTAATTCTCCATAAAAACAGCTAGCATCACTGGCATTCATATACATATTCACCTCCAGCATTCCCTAAGGCAAAACAACTCCAATCTCGCAAGCTGTCCACTAGTTCCTGTTCTATCAGCTCATATTGATGTGTGTGAAAAAATTGTGTCACAGCCTTGGCGCTTCACACGTCACGAAGTGGCGCTTCCAGCGTGACAAATTGGCGCTTCACCGCTGGAAGCGCCAATTTCTGGTGGCCCTTCTAGATCATAATAGATGTGTGTGCTATTTCGAGTCTAAAGAAAGCCATAAAATGATTACCTCATATAGGCATTCAAGAGACTAATATGCATGCACACCAAATTGGAAAAGATTGGGTCACTCTCAGTGAGCTCCATTTTCTAATCTCTCAGGGTTCAAAAAAACAATGGACCCATTTTCAAGGAAACTATATATCTGGGGCCAACAGTATTTGATACCCCTTTCCCTACAGCCAACCATTTCCAAAACCCCTACCAGGCCCTGCTGGATGCCCATACTTACAATCTAATCTTGTTGCATATAAAAAAATTACAAATTCAAGAGATAGACCCAACATCTTACTGGTACTAAAATTTCGTCCACTGGACATTTATTGTTATTTGGGCTTGGCCCAGTAGGATGTGAAAGCCTCAGTTTGACGCTGCCAGTCCCCTATCCACCCGCATACCCTCAACTCCCCGCTGAATGTATTCATACGCAACTGCAAAGCAACATCATTGCCAGCCCTCGCTGCGAGTCGGAAGGGACAACCCACCTGCATTCTCCGCCGCAAATGCACACTCGTCCACCCACGGCTCCCAGCCTGTCGCGCGCCGCTGCCATCTAAGCGCGAACGACGCCGCGTCCACGCCAATCGCGGTGAGCGCCGGATTCGCTTCCGCGACGGCCGATGCAACCGCGGGCAGGTCGAAGTCGGCATGCGTCATCTTGCGCGGCCACGTGGGGCTGCAGGTGAAGAAGCGCCATCTGAGCACGAGCGCCCGCAGCGTGCGCGGGAGCGCCTGCGGGGCCGTCAGACTCAACAGATACGCTGGGGCCTGTTCAACTTTTTCAGCCATGTGCACTCGGAATTGGGACACGCACAATCTTGCTCGCCTCCGCAGCCTCCGGCGGGTCAGGCTCCCCCGTGAAGACGCGTCGAAAGAATATCTTCAGCAAGCGCAGCGCGGGCAGGCAGGCCCACATCGGCGCAAGGCGGGGCGCTTCGGAGGTCAGCAAGTCAAGCGAGAAACACACCAGCGGCGGGCGGGATGCCTCAATCAGCCCGCACAGCTTGGAGATGTGGTCTCCGGGCAGGAAGGACAGTGCCCTGAGTGCCGATGCATCGGTCAGAAATACCTCCACCGCGCGTGACGACCGGGTGGACAGCCGCCGCACCGTGCCGACCACCGAGCGGCACCCCGCAACAACGTCGGCGACGGCGGGATTCTCGCGGGAGATGCCGACGATGGTGAGGTCTTCGAGGGCGGGGAACCTGGGAAGCAGGGCGGCAAACGTTGGCGAGGAGATGCCCTCGCGATGGACGGTAAATTCGGGGCATATTTTCAGGCGGGTGACAGCTGGAAATGTCGGAATATTGCTCCACGCGAGCAGGTTACACGAGAGGTTAAGCTCCCGCAGCGTGGCAGGGATGAAGAACGGCAGAAACACCGCGTGCGATGTGGTGTCCCAAGGCTCTGTGTGCAGCGTCAAGCTCCGCAGTTTTCCGACGGCGGCGGCGGCGGCGGTGTCGAAAGCCCTGGGCCGCCGGGAGAAGTGACAGACAACGTGGAGGGCCTCAAGCGCCGGCAACAAACGATAAACGCTAGCTAGTGCATCGCGCGGCAGGGTGACGTCGTCCAAAATGAGCGATTTCAGCTTCGTGAACCGGGAAATGCGCGCAAAGAAGGTCAACAGGCCCGAAACCTGCATCGCCGCCTGCTCGCCGTCCACCACAACCATCACAGCCGACTCCCGAGGGCCCCATGGCCGGATGCTGCACGACCGCACAAGGGGCGCGACGGACCCGGACGTCCACGTGTCCAATCTGGCCGTTGCACGTTCGAGCTCCTCTCCCCCGCGGACGTGATACACGCCCTCCGCGGGCCGTCGGCCCACACTGAAGTGATAGGGGGTGAACTCGAAGTGCGCGAAGAGCAGCGGCCGGGCGAGTGCGGCAAACGCGCGGCTCGTCTCTGCAACAGAGGCCAGTGACGCAGTCGGAAGCGCCTTGAGAACCTCCAGCCATACTTCGGGGGGCGTCGACCTGTGCGTTGGCATGGTGGTGGTCGTGGAGAGAGAAGAGGAGGCGTGTGTCAGCACTGATTGGTTGCTCGGATCAGTGATCACATAAGTAAGTCGTCACCTAAGTAGTCACGTTGATTGATTACATGAATTCCTTTACCCCAGGATTATAAACTACTGCAAATTAGCTATAGATTCTTAGCAGCGGGTTTTCCACACAATTTGAAAACAGTTGATGTAAAATTTCAAGGGGGGTTCAAAGTTCGAATCACGGATATAGTGTCGGAAAGTTTTTTTCCGACCCCCCCGGGACCCCCCCTCCCCCCCTCCTGCCATATATAGTAATATATTCTCACGATCAGCGTCATGTGACCACTGATGCGATCAAAAAGTGGGATAAAAAATTCAATCTTTGTGAAACTTTTTTTTGCAAAAAATTTATACATGTGTATGTGTATATGTGTAGGTATGTATGTACCTAGAGCCTTCAAACACACACATGGCAGGCCATATCAACACTCCAACATGTTCACCTCTCATCAATTACCTGATGATGGGCCTCTGACAGAGTGGGCTATCCAAGCGCATAGGCCTGAAAGTATATAGATATAAGTAATGAGTGTTGAAATATGATCCTACGCGTCGGTATCTCCCCAGCCCCTATTATTTGTCATATATATATGTCCTCTTTACCTATGATAGTGTAGCCCTTGTAACGACCTCTCCTCACCGGAAGATATCCAATCGGGCCCGTCATCTCCTCCCTCCGTACAATTCCAACAGGTTATGGGCCCCGGTCCTCACCTCTTCTGACTTGTACTCGCTCCGACAACTCGCTCCGACAACTTGTAACCCGTAACACTCGTCTATTCTGTACCTTGACCTCACTCTCATGGCGTCAATCTTCACTCCCATAATGCTACCACCACTGTCCTCTCGACGTCAATCCGGCCTGCCGTCGACCTGACACGTATCACCTGCTTTAAGTGCCGCCAGAAGGGCCACTATCAGCGGGAATGTCCCCAGCCGGGCCCGTTAGTCCCCGACCCTCGTTTTGCGTCAACAACAGCTGCCGTTGTGGACACCTACAGTTTCTAAATGGACATTGAAGTGAGTGGGAGCTTCCGGCGCGTTAGGCACAGTGGGAGTGTTGAAATATGATCCTACGCGTCGGTATCTCCCCAGCCCCTATTATTTGTCATATATATATGTCCTCTTTACCTATGATAGTGTAGCCCTTGTAACAACCTCTCCTCACCGGAATATATCCAATCGGGCCCGTCATCTCCTCCCTCCGTACAATTCCAACAATAAGAGTGGCAGAGTGCTGAACTATAGAAATTAGAAGGTACACACTATATTTTCAGTGTCTTTATACTCATATAAGGCCCAAATCTTTTATATACAAAAAGTAGTAGATTCGGAAAATCGTTCGGTTGGGAATCAGTTAGATCTCGCTGTTTCCCTTTTGGTGGTATTTTGACGTTCGATCCAAGCGTGTGGGCGCTTGCTTTTCTTCTTGCTTGTCACAAATTGCACGAAACCAAGTTTCAGCAATACTCGATCACCCCTCGCGGTGGGCTCCAGATGATGAGTGCGGAGTGGGGACAGCAAATGAGCTCTCTAACTAACCAAACCAACAAAAACAACCAAAACTCCACTTTTCGTAGAGAGAAAGATGTATAATGTCGAGTAGGAAAAGTCACAAAAACCCAAAATTCGTCAACTCCTTGTGCGAGTACAGGCCCCTGTGAACATAGCCTTGGCACAGATGTGTAAGGTTGTAGGGTAGATACGAGTTTCTTGCGAAAAACGTTGATTTGTCATGCCCCAAAGCGTACTATCGACGAAACTCAGCAATAGAGAAGCGCCAATACGATGCAGAGTTTATACTCGTTGGATCCAGACCGTTGGCCCCACTGCAAAGCTTGTCCATGGACATATCCATGGACGTCTTCAGGTCCAAGAGCTTGGACTTGGACATTTAAGCTTGGACATAGTGTAACGCGGGGTCACAGGATGTCACCTTTACCATATCCTCGTCACAAATGTCCATTTGCGTGTCCATGCACCGCCAGCCCATGTCCACCGGAAGCTGTACTGCCACCTGCGAGCTCTCTATCGTCTTTCCGTTCCCCAGCCGCCCCAGCGGCCATGTAATTGTCCGCATTGACCGGCCCTCGCCGCGGCGGCTGCTTTGGCCATGTCGAGCGCTCGACATGGCGGCGTCGAGCGGGGCGGCCAAAGCGCCCCCAGTATTAAGTAGACTTGAATCAATCGTTACTGGCATAAGATTTACTGGCCTCTATGTCGGACAAACTCAGCCGGAAGCAAGCAGCGCAATTTCTTGAGCTTATTTGCCTATTGAAACCCAATATTCGCTGGTTTCAGAAGGAATACGAGTCCACGCCGCCGTCTCAGCTTCCACAACACTATCTGGACTTTCTAACAGCTGGTCTCTCGATTTCTCATGACATCTGTATGAATGCTTGGCTGTCGCTCCATGAAGAAGCATGGGCAGAGAACCTGGATGATACAGAGATCCATGGACTACGTACTAAGTATCTACCCATGTTTCTGAAATATGGGATACCCCTCGGCATTGGTAGGCTTCTAAATCTGTCTGGCTCATTGCTAATCACACAACTGTAGGATTGTTTTCATTTGAACCCCCCCACCGTGTCTGCAAGGACGAGTCATGCGCCAAGGCCCTCATTTCCGACCCAGGCTTATCGCGCGAACGTGACTTAGACAGCCCTATTTGCATTCAAATCACGGTCTTCACTAAGGAGTTTGGCGCGCTGCCTGATTTTTCGACTTCTCGGAAATGCCCTAGTATGTATATTCTACCCTCCCTTGCAACTACTAACTTCTGGCAGAGTGCTCCACGCGCTACTATCCAAATTACTTCACCCACTCAAAGTCCTCAAAGTGTGCATACTATCCTGCCGCTACCATCAGCTTTATGCAGATATCGACCCACTTTTACATGAATCGGGAGATTGCTGAAACATTTGCCAGCATGCAAGTAAACGCGTGGTATGCTTTCAGACTATTCTTTATGCCGTTTCTTAGTTGTTGTGTAGGACGTCAGGTACAAACTGTGCCAAGATCTATAACGAGAGTATGAAGCCACCGTATCTTGCTGCTTTACTTCCTCCTGATTGGGGTTACACATTTGACCTTGATGTCGAGAAGGTCTGGAATGCCTTCTTTTTGCATGCACTTCTTCTTGATGTCGGGGATGGTACTCTGGAGATTCCGAATGACTATCTCCACAAGTCCCGATTGACCTCTGCGCTCCTTGCGCGGAACCAACGCATGGCTGGAACTGGCCAACCTGAGTGGAATCATGCTTGCGAGGCATGTACATGGTATACAGAGGACCAAGATGGGAAAACTGGTCAGTCTTGCTTCCCCAGTATATCTTTTACTGAGAGCAAGATAGCTGTTATTCGGTCATGTGTTACAGATGGTGTTACTATCGGACGGCCATGCTGCCGGGTTCACGACTGTCTTGAACCTCTTCCCACTGTTAAGCACCGGTTTTGCAAGCTCCATCAAGCTCAAGATCGCCTTTGTGTCGTGAATGGCTGTGAACAAGAGGCAGAAGAAAACTATCGCACTTGTTCCGAAACTGATCATCGTGGCCTTGAGCAGTACCACAAGCTTCAAGGCAAAGCTATGTTCCAACTCAAACGGCGTCTTGAACGGCTCAAAATATCCCAGCCTCATGATTCCATGCCTGGAGATGATTCCAAAAGCGCTGTAGATGGTCTTGAAGGAACAGGTGCAGACGAGGATGAGGATGTTGCAATCGACGAGAATGGTGTATGCCCGGATAAACCAGATATGGGCAATTGGAACATTCGCGCACGGTTTGGACGACGCCGAACCCATAACGAGGAGCTCTGTGTTGCTTCTTGTGGGGTCATTCTTGGTCGGGCCACCTTCTATGGGTCTGAGGCACCCAATGGAGTCCGCGTATGGTCTATTCACTTTGCGAAACTTTATAGCTTACACATATTATCTTAGGCATTCTGGAAACGGCTTTTCCCCACGAAGCGCTCGCTTCCTCAAGTACTTTGGCACGATAACAATTGCCGCATCGTTGCTATGCTGAAGAAAGACAGAGACTCATACTTCAGCCATTGTGCCCTACCAGTTGATGTCTTTCACTTCAAGTGTAAGCATAAGGAGGGGGACATCGACTGCGGGCAATACTGCAACCCTTATATCTATGCACAACTTCGCACATCAAATGGCCAATGGCGCTTCAATTCCTCCGCTGCAGAGCAAACCAATGCCTGGTTTGGAGGTTTCCAGGCAATTGTACAAGAGATGAGCGCAGAGCGGTACGATTTTTTCCTCGATGAGATGATTCGATGACGCAACATCTCTATCGTGAACATGTCTCGCCAACGTAACCAGAATCCCCACAATATTCCTCGAGAAGCACTCTTGAGCGAAGAATAGTATCACAATATAATTATATTCAAGTTGTTATGCTGCCTCGTCATCCGAACTATCGAGTGTTAAGTCTATAATCTCACCACCCCCCATTCCACTCGGTACAACGTCAACCGCTTCCTGCTTGATGCGTTGAGCAGATACCCAGTCTTCGAAACTCAATGATGAGGGTGACGAAGACCAGAGAAGATAGTCGGAGGTGTTGCAGCGCTCCATAATGAAGCGGATGACATTGTCAACAACGATATTGTCGCCGTCGGAGGGATGAAGTGCAACGCCAAACCGATGGCTCGACTCGATGATCGACTTTGCTGAAAGCTCATCGACATTCATATCCTCCTTGACCAGTTGCATCACCGTCTCCGGTAAGAGGACATCCGTAAGAATAAGTTGGTAGGGTAACTTGGTTTGGCATTGCGGACCATTCATATTCTCGGGAAAGAGGAATCGAAGAAGGTGCATAATGATTTCCCATCCAATCTCGCCATAGCTATAAGAGAATTCAGTCATCATAGTGCGCGGAGAAGAATCAACCCACTAAGCTGCTCCAATTTTTGAGAGGCGAT